AACAACAACAATGACAACAACAACAACAACAACAACAACAACAACAACAACAACAACAACAACAACAACAACAACAACAACAACAACAACAACAACAACAACAACAACAACAACAACAACAACAACAACAACAACAACAACAACAACAACAACAACAACAACAACAACAACAACAACAACAACAACAACAACAACAACAACAACAACATCTGCAGTGGCAGCAGGAGATCAAAGTGTGATCAGGTCGTCAAACTGCTGACGCGAGGCTCCGAGCCGCTGTTGCATTTCTTGCGAGCATGCCGCGTGCAGCGCGTCAAAGGCTTCGTCATGAGTCTTGAACGAGCGGCGAAGAACTTTCGGAGCAGCCTTGCCTGGGACTTGCCGCTCGACCCAAATCGTCTGCTCAACAATCCCTTCCCATTCCTTCTGTGTACCGCCGAATGTACCAGCGAGCGCGTCGGCCAGAATGCTTACAGTACTGAGGTTGATGTTCGGTGACAAAATGGCTGTAACATGCAAATCAACACAACGACAGTCAGCCACAGAATCGACAGCAAGAACATGCACAACAAAAGATGCCCCATGTACCTTGAACGAGGTCGCTGAAGCCACCAAAGAGAGCGGGGAGATCTTCACGTGTCGCGAGCCAGCAGTAGTTTGGGATTGCATACTTGTTCATCGTGCGACCACGGCGCGCTGCCGTCACAATACCAAGCACAGGTGTCGAGCTCCAGAAGAATGGCTGATCAGTGGCCATCGTGGCGAGCTTTCCGTGCAAACCTGCAATGGTAGTGTTGGACACTGTCGTGTCTTGCAACGAATGCTTCGTTTGGATGAACTCGACAAGAGGAATAGACAGCCCAGCCGCGGTTCGTGCTTGCTGGTCTGCTTCAGACCCGGCAAGGCCAGCACCGGCAAGGCCAGCAATGCAGCTTCGGGCATCTTGTGCAACCGCAGGGGCCGGATCAAGCGAGGACATCAGCAAACCGTCGGTGCCGTCCTGGTTGGTTTGGCCTTTCATTCCATCAATCCGATTGTGTGCCTTCGCGACAGTATGAAAAGCAACTACTATCCCGATCATTAAATTTCGACCCCCCCTCTTTTTTTCACTTTTTCGCCCTCCCTGGGACCTGTGTTGCTTTCCGTCTCGCCCGCGGAATGTTCATTCATGGTACGGTGTACCAGACACATTTTAGAAGTGAAGCAGCGGGCTGGGAGTTAAGATTCGAAGCGAGAACAGACAAAAATGAAACTCAAAAAAACAGAAAAAGAGCGGATTTTTTGCCCAATTTTCACAAAGCATTACATGGCACACAAACAACGTGTCGCAGCGCCTTCGCTCCACTTCAGTACTTGGTATAACCACCATTGGCATCTATCACAGCTTGAATGCGGCGCGGCATCGATGAAATGAGATCGCGGCAGACCTCTGGCGTGAGCACTTCTTCGTAGACCGCTTGGAAGCGTTCCCACAACGCGGCCTTGCTCTTGATACTCCCTCTCCTGGTAGATCTTGTTCTTGACCATGTTCCACGCATTTTCGATGGGGTTGAGGTCGGGAGAGTTCGCAGGCCAGTCCAGGACGGTGATCTGATTGGTTTCGAACCACTTCGCCACATCTTTTCTTTTGTGACAAGGGGCATTGTCATGCATGAAAATCATCTCGTTTTTGTTGTTCCACACGCGAATGCTTGCTAGCAACTCGCTCTCCAAAACTGAGAGGTAGGTGTCGCCGTTCATGACGTCGCCGACCTCGCAGAAAAGCGAAATTCCGAAACGAGAGATGGCGCCCCAAACATTGATATGGCCACCGCCGAACTTGACCGTGCCCTGCACGCATCGATCGGTCAACGTTTCGCCAACCAGACGCCATACACGACCACCGTTGTTGTTCCTGTAGAGATAGAGAGCAGTCTCGTCGGAGAAGACGACCCTCAGCCAGTCATCGACGGTCCAATGCTGATGAGCGAGTGCAAAGGCCAAGCGTCGCTCTTTGTGTGTCTCTTTCAAGAGGGCTTTTTTGACCTTCGCTCCGTTGACAAGTCCTGCACCATGCAGCACCCTTCTTATCGTGCATGGAGAGACACGAACTTTGGACAATGTGCGCATAGTGGCGGCCACTTCGGGTGCGGTGTCGGACTCATCGAGGAGGATCTGTGCTACAATGTTGTTGCGGTGAAATGACTTGAGCTTGCTGGGGCGACCGGGGCGGGGGCTGTCGCTCGTCGTCGCCCTTCCCGAGAAACGTTGGGTGATGCTGATCACTGTAGAACGTGGGAGGTGAAGCTGGGTGGCGATCTTGTTGTAGGAGAGGCCAGCATTTCGCAACGCGAGCACTTGACCGCGGACGACCTCCCTGGGCATCTTGTCCAGCACGGGCAGCGGTCTTTTTGGTGAAGTTGGACGCAGCCATACCGGGGGCTGTCTGGGAGCCACGCGGGACGTGGACTGACTGCGTGTGCGAGTCATGCGCACAAAAAGACTGAACCCAAACCAAAATTTGGGCGGGAAAAGTGAATTTTTTGAGTTTCCTTATATTTTTTATTTTGCTCGCTGCTGCTCTGATATGACTCACAACCCCCGCTCCCGGTGTTCATCAGACGTTCGGTACACCGTACCATGAATGAACATTCCGCGGGCGAGACGGAAAGCAACACAGGTCCCAGGGAGGGCGAAAAAGTGAAAAAAAGAGGGGGGGTCGAAATTTAATGATCGGGATAGTACACACGCAGGACAATACACTGTCAAAGGCACAGAGCCCAGGGACGCGTTTTTATCGAGCTCGACATAACGGGGTAGACCGGTAAAACGGTTTCTTTTTTCACTGTGCCACCTCGCGCCTGAAGAGAAAGAGCGTCGCCGCACCCTCGGCCTCTGCATGTTCTGTGGCGAAAAAGGTCATTCCGCCACAGACTGTCCCAAGAAATCCCAGCAACCAAAAACCAACAACAACAACAACAACAACAACAACAACAACAACAAAAAGGAACACTCCTCCGTTCTCACCGCCCACGTCAAGTCTTTCGAGGTTTCTGTCCAGGTCAATGGAATTTCAGCCATTGCCCTCATCGATACCGGTGCCTCTCGTTCCGTGTCCAGTTCTACCTTTGCTGAAAAGCACAAGCTTCCACTGGGTCCTCCTGAGGCTATTCCATGCCTCTACTCCGTCAACAACGCTCCTGTCCCCATCAAGGGTCTGACTACTCCTCTCCGGATTGTCGTTTCCAACCTGTCTGTCGATCATCCCCTCCTCATTCTTCCGAATGCCTCCCACGACATCATCATCGGCTGCGATCTCCTCAAGGCCCACCGTGCTTCCATCGACGTTGCTACCGACAAGGCGCACTTCCACGGTTTACCTCCTGTTTCGTCCAACCCTTCGGTTGACGAAGTTCTTGCTTCTGCCTCTGCTACTGCTCCTGAGCTTCCAGTTCCTGCGCCCAAGGTTCAACTTCCTTCCGAGTATCAAGACTTCTCTGATCTTTTCGACAAGAAATCTGCTGAAACTCTGCCTCCTCACCGTCCAGGCTTCGACCTTGAAATCAAACTCAAGGACGAGTCTTCCCTCCGTGCTGCTCCTCTGTACAAGATGTCTCCTGAAGAGCTCTCCACTCTCGAAGTGGAAATCAAGGAACTCCTTCGCAAAGGGTTCATCCGCGAATCCAAGTCTCCCATCTCCAGCCCGGTCCTGTTCACCCTGAAAGCCGACGGTTCTCGCCGTATGGTTGTCGACGGCCGTCAAGTCAATGCCGTTACCATTCCGAACAGCTACCCGCTTCCCCTCATCTCCGAGCTCATCGACCAGCTTGGCCCAAGTCGCTCTCGCCCCTCTTGCTCCAAGATCTTCACCAAGGTCGACCTTCGCTCTGCTTATCATCTACTCCGCGTCAAAGAGGGTGATGAGTACAAAACCGCCTTCCGCTGTCAACTTGGCCTCTTCGAATTCCTGGTGGCTCCTTTCGGCCACATCAACTCTGGCGCCTGCTTCCAGAGATTCATCGCTTCTCTTCTCCAATCCATGGTGATGTTGAAGTCTCCAGCCATGATCAACGGAAGAGCGGGCTCCTCTGGATTAGGCTGGATGACGTCCTTGATGGCTGTTTCGAGTGCTTCGAGGAATTGGATTTTCCTTTGGGTGCCGCTTGCTGGTGCGTAGACTGATGCGAGAATGGTCTTTTGTCCTCGCATCTTGGCGCTCACTAGCACTAGCCTGCCTGGAAGTGGGCTGGGCAGCATCTCTGGGTCTTTGAATTCTTCGTCTTCCTTGTGAACGAGGAGGCCGGCTCCGTGGTTTCGGGTCTCCACGTACTCGTTTGTGTCTGTGTCGAGCTCGATTTCGTCGTGGTGTCATGATCTGCGTGGCCTTCCTCGGGGCTGTTCGCGTCGTCTTGACTGGGCTGGTCGATTGGATGATCGAGCGGGCCGAGGGCTTGTTTGTCGTTGTCGTTGTCGTTGGAGGACCAGAAGCAGTGGTATTTGAAAAAGTACGCGCTTGCTTTCTTCTCATCCGTTGTCAGTAGTCGTGTTTCTTGTAGGCATACCAGTGATGGGAGGCTTCCCATGTACCGTTTCAGTTGTTGCTGCCCAATAGTCTGCTCGTTCTCCTTGAGAGAGTTCGAGTTGACCTTGAGTGAGCGGACATTCCATGTGGCCACCTTCACCATCTTATTGTTGGGAAGAGCTGGGCGCGTCCGCGCCGTTGGGACCTGGCGCGTCCGTCGCTGGAGATTCACTGACGCTGGGCAGCGCTGGGGCCTCGGCGTCGGTGGCGTTCTCCTGAGTGGCTGCGTTTTCGGAATTGGGCGCCTCGTGTGCACCCTCGTCACGAAAGGGGTCATGCGTCGCGCCGGCCGCAGTTGACACACTCGGCTGGTTGGTCGTGGCTTCCACGTCGTCATTGGTGGTGAGGTTGATGGTCGCCACTACCAGCGCCTGCATGTCGCTGTTGAGCTGCTGGCTCGGGATGCTGTCCCTTGAGGTGTCGTCGAA